CCTGGTCTTCTAAGGCTGTATTCAGTGAGAAATCTACAGATGACGTGCACCTCACTGGAAATGTAACTACAAGTTAGATCAACACAGCTCACTTTTGTGAGCGGAACCACAATTCATTCTGTACATTTCTAGCTATTTTTGCACTGCAGATTCACATTAATTGGTGAAAATGTCTCTATATACAGTATAATAATCATGGCATCAATATAAGACCACAAAGGTCAGCATGATTCTTGGAGGGAGATTGCTAAAAGTAGTGGAAGTGGAAATATTTGAGACAAATACATTTGAAAGAGAAAGTCACATTTATTTATTTATCTATCACAGCTAGCACTGGATGTTAAACGCCGAGACACCGCCACAAGGTAATTAACATCAGCCACATAGGTTACATCGTAGGTTCTATAAAAGGCCTGAAGTCTAAATCAGGCATTACAGACAGGATGACTTCGAGTCCTCTACAACATATATGTTCACTCTATTTGGACTTTTTTCTGTTGGCTACTGTAATGTATTGGTACTGCAATAAAATCATGGCAAGGCAACTCATTCTGTCAGGTGAGCCGGCCAAGTGCCTGATTGGATCAGTGTTCGATGTCAGCTATTTAGGTAAGTAGTTCAGTGTTAAGACTACTGCTTTAACCCTTTAAACCCTTTTATTTTGTTATCGTTTTCATGGTTAACTCCGTTTTCCTGGGTCTTCTTTTTTCGGTTACTGGTACTAGTTTTATTTTGTTGTATTTATCCGCGATACCTTAAAGGCCGGTCTGTGAAAATATTGTCGGGCATAAACCGGTCCGTGGCGCAAAAAAGGTTGGGGACCGCTGAGCTAGTGCAATAATTTTTTTTTTGCATATGAAACCGGAGGAGTTGTACTTGCATCTTATGCCATCAGCTTGTCCTAGGTCACGGTTTCCTTCCACATATAGCTTTGCAAAAATTGCATAAAAAGAGCTTGCAGGAACAAAAACATAATATTCCAGAAACACGCTTTGCTTATCCAATCAGCTGTTCGTAACACTTCCCACATTGAAATAGACGTCAGTGCGAATGATCGCATGTCCGCCATTACCTGCCCGAAACCGAAAGTGATGTCATTTTCGTGGAAAATGTAGTTTTTTACTTGTAGGCCTTAAAAGCCTATACTGGTGTTTTTATAAGTCATGTTTGACTTTATGCTTTTCTGAATAGTTGCTGGGATGCTTACAACTCGAACTGCACTGCTTAAAATAGTTTATTTTGATGCACATGCTGTTTTCTTTGCAAATTTGCATCATAGGATTGTTTTTCGTTTTTTCTGTAGTATATAAAAATTGGTGTATCTCAAAAATAAAACTATGAAGACACTCAAAATAAATTTCTTGTTGTTGTAAACTATTTTTTGCAACTTTTTTGTATTTAAAGTTTTGAGGGATAAACCTCTTAAATTTCTCCAAGTAGAAATATATGTAAAAAAAAAAAAACTAAAAAAAAACTAAAACGATTTTCAATTTTTTTGTAGTTTATTGCACTTTTTTTGCAATTTATGTAGTTACTATGGACTTAATGCATACATATTATTAAAATTTGGGCTATAACAGTTGTATTGATGTATAGCAACTTGAAATGCTCCCAAAAATGGCACTACAGCATGTAAAAATATAAAGCAAGCTCTGGCAGCCTTGGTTCTATGGTAGGTCTTAAAGGGTTAATGCTCACATTCACCCTTTCCCTCAATAGGATGAGAATCTCAACAATACTGAGCTTAAAACACCAACATAGATTTAAGTCAAACAAAACGTTGTTGTGCAAAAACCAAACATACTAACATAGAAATTGAAGTTGGTCTGTCATACAAGACATCCAGAAAAATAGAGGAAAAACAGCTGGTGGATGTCCAGCTCCCTGAAGGTGATGGGCCCACCTGTAAGCCCACACAACCTGAAGGAAAGATTAGTACTGCTGACTGTGTTAAAGCTGCTTAAGGCTGGACAGCTGCTGCTGCTCTACATTACCTGAATATAACTTCTATACCAGCTGCTTGCTATAAGTTTTTAAAATGAGAAATGTACATTTAGAGACACTAGTTAAATTATGGAAAAGTTCAACCACATCTTGGCAGGAACTGCTCCTCTATCAAAGCATTTTAATTATAAAAACTTACTTTGGCTTTCAAACGTCTGCGCTCCACTTACAGCAGGGAACAGCCGAATGATGCCTAGGCTGGACTTCAACAGCTACTAGTCTCTAGCAAACACCTGGGTTTTTCCTGGCACTAAATTTGCCTATGGTGGGTGAAGTAACCACAAGTAATCTGACCTGACAGAAGTCTGTGCACTGCCTGTTATTTTTTGGCTATCTGATAAACATTTTAAGCTTAAGGAAAAAAAGCCCCACATTTGCTAACAATATTCAATATTTGGTGGAAGGCCAAAACCTTTTTGGCGGTCATGAAAATATACCTAAAAATGGTAGGATGCATATTAAGTTGTACCATTGCAGCATATTAACGTCTTAATATGCTGGGGAAACAGGACACAACGCTTGTCTCACATTCAACTTACCAGTAGACATAGTAGGCCATTGCCATGAACACCATCGCCCCACAGATCCCAGTGAAGATCATGACAGCACTCTGGTTCAGCATTTTGGCTTCTGGTATTCCACCAGTTCACAGCCAGAAAAAATATATACTAAAAACAAAACAAAGAAAAGGCCTGCAGATAGCAGAGGATAGTCACAAGCTGCCCTGCTTTGTCGCCATAATAATCCCACAGAAGGGAAGAGGGAGATTATGATGATGACAGCGAGAACACAGTCAGATCCCAAGAACCTGTAGGAGGAACTACCTAATCAGCACACGAGTTTACCAGGGACCAATGAACTCGCCCATGAACTCGAGAGTTATTAAAAAGCATAAATCTTCATTTAAATCAGCATAAAGTAAACACCTCAATGAATTGTTATCAGATTTGGCTAAATAATATCAGAAGGAAGTCTAGAAAAACAGACAGCTCACTTCAGAAAGGAAGGAGTCACACATACTGTTTGCAGTGTCTTACAAGCATTCCCATCCTCTAATCCAGTGTATCAGATTAGTGCTGATTAGCAGGCTATGGGTACCCTGGATATGTCACATTCAATTAACATTAACAAAGAGAAGGCCTAGTCTCTGCCCAACCATAGTGAAGTAAAGAGAATAGCATTGTTACGCTAAAGTAACCAATCATAATTTACTGTATTGTGATTCACTTTGCCATAAGCTGCTTGTTACTAACATCTTGCATCATGAAAGTGATGGGTTCAAAGAAATGATCAGCAATATCCTTGAAAAATCTCTTCATGTGATATCTAGTCGTGTTTTCTTATTGGTTTTTTACTGGCTAAAGATGGACCCTTCAGAGGATGGCTTGTTAACGAGTCTGATTTACCTTACTTAACAGACGTCTATGAATTTTCTGGTATTTTTTGGTAATTTTGTTAAAACAAATCAATATATATTTAATCTTGATTAACTGAAATTCCACTTAATAAAACTAGTCAACTAGTTAAGTATATTTATTACAGCCCTAGTGGGTATTCTTTGATGGAAGCACAAAATTCTTTGATGGGATCTGTAACAAATGACCACAAAGCCTGAATCAGAGTTCAGATTATTGGCATGCCTTGGGGGTACAGGTCCCCCCCCCAAACAAATGCACATAATCACCTATTGCTTATGTTGTTTCAAACAGTGAAACATCAGCAATAACTTATTGCTGTAACAACCAATCTCAGGCTATTGAATCGGTTGACAGTAACAAGTTGGTATTGACAACAGACAGTTTTCAAAGATGGATGCAGTTAACATCGCGACATGCTTAGTAGCTAAAAACCTGTTGATCACAAGTCATGTGAAAATAATGATATCATGGACAATCCTTCTTTCTGAGACTTAGCATGAAACACCTCTGTAAACTGCATTCATATAAAGTAAAACATTTAGTCAATTCTGTCTACACAATGGCAAGTCTCTCCACCTGTCAAAGCTGGTTGCCCATTAATTTCATATGCAACTCTAACCTGAATATAGAGATATTATATGCCATGCCAGCATCCTCTTTCCTTGACAGTACCTTGGGTAAGGAAAGGATTTACTACAGATCTCCATTACTCACCCACACAAAGATAGCACACGGGGCTAGCGGGCAAGTTACCAAAGGCTTCGGATACTTGCACACAGTTAATGTTAATGTGGTCCGGACAAACTAGCAGACAGAGGCATAAATAAACTGTCAAGTGATAGCTGAAGCGAGTAGGTTGACGTTACAGTACAGTTCTAGGGTCTTACCACCGGGTGTTAAAGCCAAATACCAACGGAGATAAAAATACATGGTGATAGCTGGACAATGAAGGTCATTGATATTTCAAAGCATGAAGAGCTCTAAATCCCTGCACAGCACTACTGAGTGTGTTTTAAAGCCACAACACTTACTACACAAGAGAAATGTAATTCTTGGCAGCTAAAAGAACACTTAAAGTGCATTTAGTTTCTTTAATTATGATCATGCACGCACAGGAAAGAGCATATGCTGGAATAATGATAACAATAATACAGCAAGGAAGATTAAAAGGTGAACTCAACCTGCTGTATTTGCCAAAAATGTGGCTCCAAATGTGAACCTGCCGGCTGAGCTCATGATCATATTACCATATTTATACTGGTTTGTTTATGTGTGGGGGAAAAAAAAAACAACTATGATCCTACTAACGTGTATTGGCTGTGTAGCCATCTGGGACCATTTAAAACTATGAAAATAAAGCAATCTCACCTTTGCATGGTGTCAGTATTACAATAATCACAGCAAGCATTATGGAAATCTAGTCAAACATTTTATGCAAAGCTTCTACATATGGGTTTATCACTGAGGTTAGGTGAAAAGCTGGCTGATGTAAAGAGCCTTGGATCATTTAAACATTAGGTCCTTCAACACAAGACCATTTAAAGGTGGGAATATTATGCTGCTACTCCCCTCACTATTCTGTATAAGACTACAAAGGTTAACAAAAAGAGGGTCAACTAGTAAGAGCAGGGAGAGTTATGTGAAATTCTTAGACAGTTTGAGTATGAATGCACCAGGCTGAATCTGAATGCAGGTAATGAATGCTACAAAAGTTTGACATTGTTCACCCCGATGACACTGCTTAGATAAAGTCTTAACACATGTCTCAAAGTCCAATAGGACAATACTATGCTTGATTACTAGATAAAGGAGATCAATAGGTTACGACTTGTAAACGAGCAAGTCACTGCACTTTGGATCAACAGCTGGTTCAATTATTAATAGCATATATACGTCAACGATGCCTTTAGGTATAGGGCTGTGCGATATGACCAAAATCTCATATCCCGATATAAGACATCTATCGTCCGATAACGATATAAATCACAAAAATTTAACATTTTCTGTAAATTCTGTGAATCTCGGGCAGCTCGACTTGCGTGAAGTGTTTCCAGCTGGGCGTCGTGTACCTGGAATCGAGTGTTTTAACCGATGCACGAAACTATATATTTTTAGACATAAGTTGTAACGGCCGCTGTTTTCTTTTTGAGTATTTATTGCACGGCGTGCTGCGGGGAAAAGCGTAGCACTATTTTATTGAGCATCCCACTCTGTTTAAACTATGAAAAGGCTGATTTTATTTTTAACTTTAGTGAGAATACACCTAACAGGTAAATGTGCCGGATGCAGCCATTTTGGATATTAACCTGCCAGCTCCCTAGCACAAAGTCCGATCTGATGTCTAACAACTCTGATGTGGAGATATCGTGCTGCGTTTTTTTGAGCATTGACTGTAGCAGTGGGCAGAGCTATATTTTACCTAGCTACCCCAGCCTTCTTTTACTGACTTACTGTCGTTATCTTTGGTAGGATTTATGAATTTCTCCCTTTTCTTTCTTTGTACCATTGTCTTAAATCCTAGGAACTAGTGTTTTTACCCTTTTTTAAAATCCACCTTTTCCCACACTGAAATCAAATCGAGTCTGGCATTCACCTCCTGCACCATCTAAACAAAAAGCACCATTGCCTCCATTAAAAAGGAAGAAAATCCATTACATTTTAGTGCAGAACTAGTGATTCTTTTAAAATTTCTATAACATGACACTAGTGCTTGTAGAAGATACACTTTTACTGCATTGTCAGCGTGTTTGGGATCATTGGTCATGCTGACAAATTTTTTGTAGAATCAACTAAACAAGTGTAACTTGTTCTAGTAACAAAGTGCCTAAAGATACTATTTAAAATTGTTATACAAAACAACTTAGTAGAATAAACAACACTGGTTCTTCTCCAGCCTTAGGTTCCTCTTTTTTTTCCCCCATTCCTAAATGATTTGTGTCAGTGTTAAGAGACTTATAAAGCAAAAACAAAAAATATCATTTCTCTGAAAATCATCAGGTACAAGGACTGGACTGAGAATGAGGGGGGGAGCAGTCAATGTCCAAAGAAAAACTTAAAGACCTGGAGCACTATTGCTCTTTAAAAACATAAATGGCAGCTCAAGACTTATACAGGATTCATTGATCTTGTAAAATTACTAAATAATGAATAGCAGCAGTGATCCAGTCCACATATCCTCCTCTCAAGGTCAATTAAAGGCATGCATAAACACCAACAAGTGGCCTTATATGGCAGTGTGAAGCAGTGCGTGCACACTTTACCATTCAATATTTAATATAAAAAAGTGAAGTTTTATTAACGGACTTCCCTTTTGCCCTTCTGGTTTTACTCTTAGTAGTATGAGACCAAGCTGTCTCTTGCACCAAGCAGTCACATTATCAACACTGGTTTAATTTTAAAAAAGGAAAAACAATCCCCGTTCTGGTATAAAAATGCTGGGAGTTACTTGCCTGTCACGCACTGCTCGTCCAGCTGGTTAAAAGTGAGGCTCAAGAATAAAGTTAGCACGGGTTAAAACAGCCGCAGACTTCAATGAACTTTAGTAACCTCAAGAGTCGTACGAGATCTGTACGCAGGTCAACTCTGAGCCAGCTGGCGCATACGACGTAAAGCGTGACAGAGCGGGGGTGCAATATAGCAACATTTAACTACGAAAAATGAACCCAGTCATAGTTTACCATGAACTCTAGCATATCATACCTTAGTGTCAAAGTGTTGCAGCCCAACCTACTGTATCTGAATGCAAATGCTTAAGATGTTTGTATGCACCAAATGCGGCATGCCCGGGCTGATAGATTCTCAGAGACCAACTAGCCAGCAGGTCCCTTCAATCCTACCACTGACACGGCTTATCTTTTGTCACACATGGCTCGGCTGCGGCCGTTAAGCTAGCTGCTCTGTGAAGTCAAAGTTGCAGGCACACACACACACAATTCCCTCAGAAGAAGACGACATTAAAGAAAAAGCCACCCAACTGTCTTAGCTACTGCCAATAGAGATAGTAAATGTGTGAACACTGGTTCGACTAAATGAGCCGAGCGGCACAGGAAAGACAGGTGCTAACGGTACAAGCTAGCATGCTATATAAGCAACATCCACACAGCGAGGCTAAAAAATGTTTTCTGGCGACAGGATGGCGTCTATTAGATTGACTCTTTAGCTGCTAATCACTGCCAACTTTTCCCCCATCCTTTGTTAATAGGTACCCGTTATTATCTTAGGCTAGTTAGCCAGTTCCCGTTAGCAGCCAGTGTCAGCCTTACCTGAAGATTATTCGCTGGGGACTCGGTGGGTTTAGTTACACTTTTTCGCCGCTTTCTGGCCTTCTGGGGGCGTAAAATGAGCCTGTCAACAAACGTTGCCCTACTCTGTCGGTTTCCAGAGACGCAATGAAAATGACTTGAGGCAATAGGATTTGCAGGAGCTCTATTGTTTGTCGGTTAAAGCCCCACATTTCCTCCAAGCCCATCTGAAGGTGGCCTTTCCTACATCCGGTCCAGCCCCTCATTCATTTTCACAGAGATGCACAAAAATACACAAAAACATGCACAGACGTACTGCAGCGCACTCCCGCCGCTGCTGCAAGTTTGATTACAGGTAAAAGCAGAT